GCAGGCGACTATATCTCTCACGATAATGACTGAAAGTTCAAATCAATCCCACGATCAGGCTCTAACAGTGGGTTGATGGATAGATGACTGCCCACATTTTCGACTTCAAGTCAAAATTTTAGATTTGGACCAAATGTTGTTGAAAGGGGTGTTTCGACGCGCTGAACACGAATATCGCATCTGCTTGGCACGAAATTGCCTTACGCGTGCGCTACGGGTGTCAGAGGCGGTCACTTGCAAATGACGCGCACAGTGCTCGAAGCTCTTCGCCAGCTCTGTTTACTTGTGCTATAGGCAATCGCTGATAACTTAGCATGGATAAGAGTCCCTTAACAACGTTCACAAGAAAAGCAAAAGTGAGAACTCGCCAAGAACTCGATCTCACGACCTCTTGTTCGTCGGCCGGGCCGCTGCCACTGCACTATCTCGCTTCATAACTACGTTCAGAGAATCGTTTCGCAGATTTGGAGAGCAGATTCGAGATCAGCGTCCAAAAACACATCTAGTGGTGTATGTCTCGTTACAAATGGCCACTTCGACCTGGTATCCTTCCCTTGTTAGATCCAACGAGAGAACCCATATCAGCGTTTTTTTTTCGATGTTCTTTGTAATTGGTAGATTGGAAGTGATCTATCATGGGTTTGGTAGCTTTGAGCTTTTGACTGTAAAATTCTCCCGGCTTGCTTAGCCCTAGAAAGGATTTGAGTGAGTGTCCGTAGCGGACAAGACATTGGCGCAGAACTAAAACGCTTTTCATGTTTCGAGATTCGAAGTAGCATTGAGGGACAATTCCTAGAAAATCTGAAATTTTGACCAACATTGAAAAAATGGGCCAGGCATCAGTGGTGTGTCCTCCAGTTAGTAACCTGCAGCTGACTCATTGTTGACCGTCGATAACACTATTTCATAAACTACAAACTCGGCGTTATGAGTCTATCGGTGTGTATTTATGCAATCCAGCTTGTCAACTGGAGCTGCAGTTCTTGCGATGTATTTATATATATACCAGTTTGGCTGCGCACGCATTCGCGTGCATGAGACGGGGCTCAGCGGTAAAATCGGGCCCATCAGTATTTTTGTCTTGATTTTAGCTTTCTGCTCGGTACATCTTACTTACGCCGCAAACTCCGCCCACATCCGGGTGTGCCACGCCCAGCGTTCACATTCAACCTCTACTCCTACTTTCACCTCTGGCGTATTTTTTTCAGGTCTCTAAGTCATCTCGGAGCCGAATTATGAGGTCTTGTAAATGGCGTTATGAGTCACGAATTTCTGAGGCAGACCCCGCCCACTTTGGTGCATGCTTAGCCCAACAATGGCATTCAACCCTACTCCATACCTCAATACTTTATGCACATTTTCCCCGGTCGCCGGAACTTCTAGGAACCGAGTTATGAGAGCGGTGGCAAACTCCGCCCACATCCGGGTGTGCCACGCCCAGCGTTCACATTCAACCTCTACTCCTACTTTCACCTCTGGCGTATTTTTTTCAGGTCTCTAAGTCATCTCGGAGCCGAATTATGAGGTCTTGTAAATGGCGTTATGAGTCACGAATTTCTGAGGCAGACCCCGCCCACTTTGGTGCATGCTTAGCCCAACAATGGCATTCAACCCTACTCCATACCTCAATACTTATGCACATTTTCCCCGGTCGCCGGAACTTCTAGGAACCGAGTTATGAGAGCGGTGGCAAACTCCGCCCACATCCGGGTGTGCCACGCCCAGCGTTCACATTCAACCTCTACTCCTACTTTCACCTCTGGCGTATTTTTTTCAGGTCTCTAAGTCATCTCGGAGCCGAATTATGAGGTCTTGTAGGGGACGAAATCGAGCTACGTATCTTTGTGGCAAACCCCGCCCACTTTGGTGCGTGGGTCGCCCACTGATATCAGTCGGCTATCATCTCTTCCCCAACCTTTTTCTACTTTTCTCCCATCTCTGGAACTTATTGGAACCGAGTTATGAAGTACCGTGGCAAACCCCGCCCACTTTGGTGCATGCTCCGCCCGCCAACAACGGTTGACCCCTTTCCCTCTGCCAACCCTTATACGCTTTTTTCCCGGACTCCGGGACTCCTAGGAACCGAGTTATAAGCCTAATTGCAAACTCCGCCCACTTTGATGTAAGCCACGCCCATCCCTGACATTTAGCTTCCCCTCCCCTCCTGACCTCTATCCGTTGTTTTCCGGTCTCTAAGTCATCTCGGAGCCGATTTATGAGCTCTTGTAGAAAATGCTGTCCGCTTCACGACACGCTCCGCCCATTGTGGGCGGGCCTCCGTTCACATCATGCGTGGTGGAAATACCTTAGGCATTGCTCCCCTGCACTAATTTCGTTTCTGGTCTGTAGGCTTCCTCTTAACCGAGTTATGAATATTTTCACTGAGCACCCATTTTCTAGAGAACGCCCCGCCCACCGAGGGTGGGTCTCCTCAGTTCAATCTGGCTTACCAACCCACACCTATGCCCACTTTTGTCCCGGTCTCGAGGCTGTTTTGTGACTGAATTTGAAATCATGGTCCTCAGTACCACTCATTTCGACGCACGCCACGCCCACTGTGGGCGGGGCTCCGCTTAGGTAATGTATGTTTTTTACTTCTCGAGATATGGTACACCCATCCCAAACATTGACCTGGACCCAGTAGGTTGTTGTCCGCTTAATACGGAATTTCGTGACAGACAGACAGACAGACAGACACAGACTTAGCGCATTATATATGTAGGGATATATATATTATTACCAGATTAGTCCCCCGTCAACCGCCGGGACCTTCCTTTCCTGCGCAAGCTTTCTATCCTCCGCTATGGTCCCTTCCTCCTGTGACACCAACACCTCGGGAAGTGACGCGTATGCACAATGGTGTTTCATACAGTAGAAGGGACACAATCATGATATGACGGTAGATTTTTCGCTTCCCTTCCTCATCCTCCCTTCCTCTCTCCACTGCCCTCCAGCTGCCACTGCAGCACCATGTGGAATGAACGGAAGTGTGCTAAGCAGGTGTTTATATAGCCCTAGAGTGTTATCACAACTATCCTACAAAACATTGATATCTCAAATCCTGTAAGCTACCCGATTTGTTAGCGGTTTGTTTATCCCATGAGCTTCCTTCTCACTCACTTCATTTTGCGGACGGACACACATACATACACACACACACATACAGATACACAAACCGACACACAAAGTTAGCGCTTTATAAAATAGAAGGATTATATATTTTTATTACATGAGGTAACTCATGTGGCTAAAACCTGATTGAGAAACACTGAATCAAACTTCCAGCACAACAATAAAAAACATGAAAGAAAGGAAAAACACTTAAAACATCGGTGAGCGAAACCAGAGAGTTGAAAAACAAAGCATGGGGAGGAGGTAAATGAGAAAAAGGAGGATTAAATTCATTGTTCATTCCTGAACATATACTAAAATTGGAACATATTTCTATATCATTTTACATATATATGTATTATATTATCTATATTTATATTAGGTCGGTCCATAATTTTTGAGAACCTTTGGTGTTTTTCGATTTAATTACTTATCTTATTTCTCTGATGTACTTATTCAGCATAGTATACATCACCATTATTACCAACATATAACCAATGCGAGGGTGGGTATTCAGTGTCCCTCTTAGAATTTCATAGAGTTCTGATCGAAGAAATATTGGATGTCGATTTTGACTTTATGGTGATTCAAGTGAGATTTCTTCTCCAGAAGGTGATTGAGAGAGGAGAGCGGATAGTCGTTCGTTGACGCAGGATTAGTGCTACAAGGCGGAGCTAAAAGAACTGACCGCCCGAGAGTCTCCAATTTTTTAGGAATTTTCTTAGCAAGGCGGGCTCGAACGACCTCAGAGAAAAATAGATTTTGTCTTCCTTTGCTTTCAAGTTGAAGGCGTTGCCATCAAGCTGTCAACGATTCTTCCCATCACTGACACTGGTATTAGTTGATGCCGGTCTTCAGCGCAAAGGCCCTCCCGTATTGCGCCAACGACTCAGGAAGTTCGAATTCAGAGGGAGTTGGGTTTTTACTGTCAGAACTCCCGAATCGTTTGAGCAAATCTACTGCGGCTCGTGGATTTGTTAGCACACTGCACCCAGTCCACATCACCAATGAGTATTATAGATGGTCATCCGAAGGAACTATGGAAACCAACAGGAACTTGATGATGTCAGATTGGGTTGAGAACTGATTCGGGACTACAATTTTCCTTCGATCAGAACTCTATGAAAGTCCACAAGAGAGGCACTGAATACCCACCCTCGCATTGGTGATATGTTGTTAATAATAATGATGTATACTATGCTGGATAAGTAGATCAGAGAAATAAGATAAGTAATAAATCGAAAAACACCAAAGGTTCTCAAAAATTGTGGACCGACCTAATATATTTTTTATATCATTTTGTACATTGCCCTAACTTATATAATACCAGTTTTGCTTCGCCAGCTAACGCGCGCATCACATGGCAGCTCACACTCGGCATCGAAACGAGAATCGCAACTGTTTGCTGCGAAAGCACTTTCATCTGTGCTAAGGGTACGCGCAGCCTTACGCGAATAGAACAACGAATGTTGGATTGGTCAAACGTTGTTTAATAGCGTGAGTGAAACAGATTTTCACCTTTGTTATGCAAACGCAATAACCAATGTCTTACTTCCAAAATCCCTGAAAACCCTGAAAGGCCGATGGGAACACTGCTAGGGATATCATAGCGAAGAGAGGTCGATATTTAAACAACGCTACCTCGACGATGTTTATGCCTTAGGAGAAAGTCCTCCATGCTTTTATACAGTGGCGAGAAGTTCGCATAGTGGCTTCGCTCTACATCATCCGGTATTGTAAAGCGACAAGGTGGCTCATCTCCATACCTGTAACAATTTTCCGTTAACAGCTATGGAAAAAATATATTTGATTAGCATATTGAGCATGTGGTTAAGAAACCATAAAAAGAGTTGTGTCTGCCGACACTCAGCTTTCAGAATTTGTGTATCCTACTATTAGTATTCAGCAACTCTACAAGTATTGCAATATGGCCCACGTATTCACGGCATCTTGCTCAAAATCGATGAGCAATGCACAAAAACCCGTTTAACACGTTGACGACATTGTGCAGCGCATGCGCATCACACCTTGAGCACCGTGTGGGACCGTGTGCAGCGCATGCGCTGCACACACAAAATATTTATTTTTTTCGCGCATGCGCTACTTCTTTTCTAATTTTTTGCATCTATTCCATAGACTACACCATAATATGACTAGACACGGCGAGGTTCATTGAATGGTTGAATATGCTCCTTTTTAGCGAAGGTTTTCTAAGCCTACGAATTTCCCAATTGTGTTCATTCCTAGTTTCCTTTATATCAAATAAAAAGCGTCAAAAATAATTCTGAGGTTCAGTACAGCAATAGCAACTGAAACTTGCCTTTCATCGCCAGAAAACGTCAATTCGATCGATTTTTTACAGTTATCTCTTCGGATAAGTTTGATACATCGAATACTATTCTAAACATTTCGTTGCATCCGAGTTGTCATCAAACGCGCGTTGTCATCAACGTGTTAACCCGTTGAGTGCCATATCATGATCGATAACTACCATGAACCAAAACAAGTCAATAACTGATAGGAAGAATATGCTCCTTGAGGGCAACAGCATAGTGATACGGATCAAGTAACCAGTTTTCGAATAAGATTGAGTGGCCTTATCTCCATGCAAACTCCAAACGTAAGTTGAATTGTATTGTTTCTGCGAGATTTGATTGAAAGACGTCTCTAGAATTCGCCAACCATAGCTTCCGCAGAGTTCCCACAGCACACTGAATCCAAGATAGCGTTATTGTCAGCGTCAAGTTCTGTCTAGAAGCCAGACCCACGGTCCTTGAGGTGTATTCTCAGTCACTATGATGGTGCTAGATTCATCGTTCGACCGGACTCATCGTCGTGTTTTTCAAAAGACGTCGTGTTTTCCGACGCCATTGCTTCCTTACCTTCAATTCGTCTTTGACAAAGGCACCGCTCAAGTAGGAGCCACTTTATTCCTTGATTCTTTTTCCATTCTATGTACGATTTTCCTAACTGGAAGCCGTTCAGTTCTATCTGGGCATCTCTCTACGCTCCTTCGACTGAAGCTCATGCCATCACTTGTACTGATTTTGAAGACATGTGCAGTGAGATGAGGGGAGGCTTCCTATCGATGCGTCCATCCTATTTGAGTGGAGAATCTTTGGCTTGCACTTCCAAATTCGAGCACTGCTTTCGGAGTTTCCGATTCAAGGCTGCTTTGAATTGAAGTTTCGCCCGACTAATAAATCTTACACTGGCAGAAGCGGAACCAGGAGTAATACAATTTATCACAATGGGGCACTGCAGGCACATCTAGTATATCCTCCTAGACATCAACAGCACAGTTTTTTGGGTCCTGTTTCGGGTCTACCGGCAGCTCATGAACGAAAATAACAAACACAAAAACAGGCATCTCGGCTTCCAAACAAGCAAAATTACACATGTCAAGAAATTGTTAGAATTTACGTAGATAGGTCTTCAACGCACAAGAATATTGTCCTCTGGGTGATTGATCCTCCAGAAAGTAGCCACAAGTAAAAAGAGAGGATTGCCGAAGACTCCCGAGCGCCACCCTATGAAGTTTGAAGCGCTCAGCGTCGATCACTCCTATCTAAGAATGCATACACTTCCATTCCAAATTGAAGTAGCAATTTAAATGCGACTCGGCTTATAGAACGACTTGCGAGTCCTGGCAAGTGGAAGACAGTTACTATCTTTTCAGACAAGTCTGGTGCCAATTGTCTGACCCTGAAGATAGATTCAATCTCCGAACCGTGCGCGTGGTAAGCAGGGCCACTTGCCACTGCACCATCGGCTAGCGTTATTGATAAGGATACAAAGTGATTCCTTTCCTTTTCTAAGGCTTCACCCTTCCACATTATAACTGAGCGGTAAGGGTTGCAGTGTAGACGTCAGTATGTAGCAGAGACTGACCTATCAATGCTTTCAGCTCTTTTTCGTTTTTCTTGATTGATATTCATCACCGCAACAGCTGTACTTTTATCGTCATCTTTAGCCACCATGAAATCCGCGTATGCGAAGAGAAGTATAACGAATTCAGCGAAAGGTCCTGCCGTTGCCGTCGGAATTTATAATTTGAAGCCACGGGTCAGGATTAGGTCCCCAAAGCCAGTCCCTTTTAGAGTGAAGGAGAGGGGTCCCCAAGGGCAGTAGGGAGGACACTGTCGCGACTCAAAAGTTTGAGGCACTGGCGCTAAGGCCTTGCCTTGTGTGCTGCCGTGCTGCCAGCGTTATCAACCACGGCATACGTGGTCTCTGCGTCCTCTCGCGTACGACGTACTATCTCGCGTTCTCCCTCTCCTCGCAGCGCTGTGTCTCTCCGTCGTACTACGGCCGGCCTCCTAAGGGAAATTTAGTGTTTTCTATGGTGCTTTTTGCTTTTTCTCCTCACTAATGTTCCTCATTGCACCCCTTGCCTAATTTCGGAACAAAATAATGCATCATTTCAATCCGACTTGTGTCTTTAAGTTGACATAAGTATTCATTATCACACTGTATCACGCACACAATGTTCACATCGCCTCAATATTTGATAGATCCCAAAAAAGTAAAAGTAGTTTGGACGTGACAAAAAAATTCACATTGACGAATTTGACATCACTTCCATTTTAGGGTCTCACCACTAGGCAACTCATATTGAATGTTCAATAGTCAAGCAGTTGTGTTCTCGACAGGCCGCCAATATCAGTCGTAAGAGTTAACGAAAGTGGTGTGATTCCTGTGCGCGTAAATGAAAGTAGAGGTGTGATTTGGACAGAAGTGTCAATAGATTGTGCTGAAGCAACAAGACTCTAAGCGCAGTCAAGACATCAAGGCGGCAATACAGAAGTGGGGCGCAGATACCCGTATTTGCGGAATTGTAGCCGTTTATGCAGTAGTATAGTAGTCATTGAAGGGCCCCAGCGCGCAATTGCGATAAACTCCTTTGCAATAAATGGAGAGGATTTCTGGAACAGTGGCGATTTATCAACGGCGTGATGAGGCGTCCGATCTAATCCATCCAACCCGGAACAGAACAGGGAATATTTCTCAAAAAATTGAATCGCTGTCTCAGAATGCCAAAAAGCAGCTTCAAAGCATTCTCTACACTGCTATTCAATCAGAGTCGCCCCTAATGAGGTGTGCTTCTATTCGGTAGAAAATGTTTCATTAGTGACCAGTCACTTGAAAAGGCACACCTGAACACTTTCCTTGGATTCTCATTCATGCATATTGGAATGGGATCGTTGGCCTCGGCTGGAAATCCGATTGGGCGGTACACTCGTGGAGGCGGAGATGGGCTCCTATGGAAGCTATACTGACATCCACCATATATTTTCATTAGACATCTATATTGAGAGAGTTTGAAAAAAAGCAAATTAATTTTTAATTCTTCACTTCTTCGTGTTCGCTCTTTTACAAGGGCTGTCGGCAGCTCCTTTCCTTTTCATCGCAGCACTAGCTAGCTTCGCGTCCACATCCCGCTTTGCCAACCTTTCTTCTGGCACATTACCTTCTATAATGTAGTGGATTAGCGTCTACAGGGCGTATCATGAGTATGGACACACCCCTAAAAGTATATTAGTTGACTTCCATAAGAAGATTTCGTCAAAATGCTTATCATCATCTGAATCAGCATGCGCGAAAACCTATGTTTACCAGCTTTCACGTGAATTGGAAGAATTCGGCTTTTTTCAACAGGTGAACATTATTTTGCTGTATCAAAAGTATAGACGCACCTCGGAAATCTAATACATTTGTTATGAAAACAAACATAACAACTTCTTAATAATTAATTGTTCCTCCATGTTTAGAAGTGATTTCAAAATTGGATTTCGCCCAAATTCAACTAATCTATACAGCAATTGCACGCCCAAACAATCCCATGCCTGAATAATTGCCATCTTGTGGTTTCTCACTCTTTCAGTTGTTCCCTGGCGGTAAATATCTTCAACTAGGATGTCAGAGATGCTCTCCATATATTATGACCTCGACACTCCATGATGACCCTCCTCTAACTGTGATTTTATGGAGCTGCTCGCATGGATGGCTGCACTGTTTTGTTGAAAAACGAATCCTTTTTTTTTTCGGGACGTGCCAGAGAAGATAGTAGATAATGACGTCCTGGTAGTCCTACGAGTCGGCATAAGTGCAGTTGAAGGTAATTTCAAGCTTCCCGTTCAGGTACTAGAATCCTCCGAAACCATCACGCTACCTCGATCGAAATTACGTCTACTGAATACTTCGGTTCCTTGCGGAGATCGCTCCAGTAAAACGCATTTCCATCTAAGCCGTCCAAATTGAGCTATTTCTCGTCGATGAATATCACAAACAGGATGTCAACGTAGAGAGCTTTATAAGGAGGTCACGGACCTTCGTTCAATTTGCTGCCATGTTTTTCTGGCAAAATGGAGCAGGGCCTTCCTGTGGGCGTCGGAGAAGCCGAGTAGCGGGCCGCGACGACATATAACTATGTTGTTGTTAAGCTTGATTGTCCTCCATATCGTTATTATGAACAATGGACCCAGTAAGGTGGCTCGAACTTCTCTGATGCAGTCTATCGAGTCGGAAACGGCGTTTAATCGCACGTTCCTGCTGGAACTTAACTTCTTCGGCCTCCCAAATCTCTCCCTTTCCTCCGCGGGATTTTGTACTACGTAGAAATCGGTCGATAGGCCACGATAAACGCCGCGGTTCTTTAGCATTTTGACAAATTGCACAGGCCTGCTGTGTGCAAGGCGTCAAACTGTGCCTACTCGGCTTCTGACAAACGCGGACCTCTTGGCATTTTGCGATATTGTGCAGAGTACTCATCCTAGTTGTTGATTTCCTGGAACAGGGAAGTTGTCTATGTATAGCTTCTTATTTCAAGCGAGTCAGTGGAGTGCGTCTATACTTTTGAGTCAGCCAGAATAAAAACTGTTGAAAAAAACCCGAATTTATTCCACTTCACCTGGAATCTGGTGAAACTACGTTCTCAGGCATGCTGATTCAGATGACGATAAGCTTCTGTCGAAAACTTCCACGGAATTCAGTTATGCGACTATACTTATATACGCACTGTATTGCAGGAAAAGCTGCATAGAGAGTACCTTTCTGATCATCTATGAGGTATTTCTCCTTATCGGCAGTTGGCTGAAACAAAGAACATGAACTTCCAAGTTTATTTTTTTTCTGAAAATACTTTACTGTAAAGCTCCTATTCACCCATGTAGACGCAATTATGGTTGAGAATGCCCAACAAGAAATAACTTCAGGTCGGCATAGCCATTAGAAATGAGATGAGATCACATATGCGACTCCGAGACCTGATCTCGAATCTGGCTTCCAAATTTGTCAAATGAGTCAGAGAACGAAGTCACGGGGGGGGGGAGGGGTTGGTAAACCTACTGATCAGAAAGATAGGCAGGACAGGACCTCTTGAAGGTGTGGATCGACACGCAATTCGCGCGATGGACATGCTTCAACGCGGTTTCAGACTCCCTCCCGATTTCTGGCCTCCTCCGTCTAGCAGAGTGAGAGCATTAGCGTAGATGAGGTCAGCATCGATGAGAGTCGAATGAATGCAAAAATCAGCGGGCAAAATAGATCCCATTTCTTGAGTTTTCGGTTGTTTCCGTGGTTTTTTTCATTCCTGAACCACTCACCACCACTGCCTTGATTTCTAGAGGGTGCCTTTTCATGTAAAGTTCGCCTTGAATGCCTTCCAACAACTGCTGTCGTGCGTAAATAGCGCAGCCTAGAAGCTGACCTACACAAGCAACACAGAAGTCCGATTCCCTAATGCATGAATGTTGCTTTCGCGTTTATCTCAAAACTCATTCAAAACGTTCAGAAATAGTCCCTTGACTTCTTTTCCTTCCTGATACTTGATGATAGCTTGAGTTACTTTTTGAAACTCTGTTGCAGCTTATTGGAATATGGAACCACCTTTGCTATTAATTCGAAGACTTCATTCAATGTACATGTTACTGTAATCGCTCTCTCAGATGGCGCTCCGGTAGTGTCGCAAGAGCTAAAATCCTTCATCAAATGTGGACGAAGAGCTTTGCGCAGAACATCATCGTGTTCATCCGAAAAAGACACTATTGGCTGACTGATTAAACGTTACAATAAAAAAAAGGACGCACAAAGATTCGGAATTCTGTAGCCAACGATACGGTGCAATATTGCGGGCCCGTGAAGATTTTGGATCCCTTAATCCTTTGAGTTCTCGAGAAGAATACATGGAAATTGTGTACGGGAATTGTCGAGCAACAGAGGAGTTTCTATTTGAAGACCGGTTCAAGTAGGTAAACGAATTGTAGGAACGTTCAAAAAGTGGCGCGAAAATATTTTGCAAGTGTGTGGGAGATTTTTCGATATACCTAAAAGCAGAAGATATCAGCAGGGATCCCAAGGATTCGGATCTTTTTGCTGCCTCAGCGATTTCGCTCGCCTACCGCCTACAGCATTCAGTCAAATAATGCGCTCGATAGAAGGCTTCAAGGACTGTACCCCAGCGATAAAACTACCTCTGTTTCGTCATATGTTGGCCCCAGTTTCGAGACCAACGTTCCCAGTTGTTTACGTGCGTATGTATTTCATCTCATATGGCCATGACAACCTGAGAGGCTTCCCTTGTAAGAGCCATATCGCACAGTTTCCAGCCACGTTTAAGATCCCTGGAAATCAAGAGAAACCATAGATTCAAAAAACTAGTTGATAAGGAAGTTGATTGGCGAGAAAAACTAGAAGCTCCTGGGAAGTGTTATTTATAGCCAAGATATTTAGGGCAGTTTGCGGTGGCAGGGATAGGCGAGTGGTCAAGGGTAATGTAAGGTTTGATGGGGGAGCTCAAGATCTTGCGCAAGAGATGTGGAGTAGGACACACACGCAAAGCATGTGTTCGTTACTGGACGTAAGAAAAGATTTGGTAAATCAAGTAGATCGTCTTCAATTAAGATTTCAACACCGTAAAAGCTCTATTTAATTGTGCCCTTTTTGGAAAGACGATATTTCAGAACTGACAGCTCAGCGGAGG